TTCTAATATTAGTGTAGTCAACTGTGGTATCTTTTAGTTACTCTTTACATGGAATCTCTTCTTACATCCTTTCACTTTCAATCGATTTATGTTTTGGATCTAAAGTGAATCTTTTGTAGACAGCATATAGTTGGACAGTATTCTTTATCCATTCTGTTGATCTGTCTTTTCATTCGAGAGTTTAATCCATTTACATTTAAAGCAATTACTGATAAGGAAGGATTTCTGTCATTTTGCTATTTCTTTTCTATATGCTGAATATCTTTTTTGTCCCTCATTCTTGTGTTTAGTTGTTTTTGTTTTTTGTAAAATTCCTTTCTCATTTTCCTTTTATATATTTCTAAAATATATATTTTATATATTTCTTTGTATGTATGCTATAGCTATTTTCTGTGTTTTTACTATGGGGATTACGTTTAGTATCCTAAAGTTATAACATCCCAATCTGGATTCATACCCACTTAATTTTATGACACACAAAAATTCTGCTTCTTTAACAGCTATATCCCCAACTCTTTTGTTTGCTGTCACAAAAATACATATTTATACACTGTGTGCCCTGGAACACAAACTAATAATTCTTTTAAATGCTTAAGTCTTTTAAATTACATAAAAAAGAAAAATGTGGAGTTACAATACTAGCCTTTAGACTAATACATTTTGAAAATGTATTAGTCTCTTAAATCATACAAAAAACAAAAACTAGAATTACAAACTGTTGTTAAAAGCTATTACAACTGTCCACATATTTACCTTTATTGAGATCTATTTTCTCCATAAGTCTTCGAGTTACTGTCTAGTGTCTTTATTTCACCTGTAAGAATCCCTTCAGCATTTCTTGTAGGGTAGATCTAGTGGTCACAAACTCCTCAGCTTTTATTTATCTGGGAGTGCCTGAATTTCTCCCTCACTTTGAAGGACAATTTTGCTGAATATAGGACTCTTGGTTGAAAGGGTGGGGTTTTCTTTTACCAGTTTGAGTATATCATCCCACTGCCTTCTGAACTCCAAAGTTTCTGATGAGAAATCTGTTAATCTAGTTGAGGATCCTTCATATGTGATGATTTGCTTCTCTCGCTGCTTTTGAGATTCTGTTTGGCTTTGAAAGTCTGGTTTTGTGTCTATGAGTTCATCTTTCTTGGAGTTTATGAGCTTCCTGGATGTTTCATCAAATGTGGGAAATTTTCAGCCATTATTTCTTCAAATATTCTCTCTACCCCTTTCTCTCTCTGTTCTCCTTCTGGGACTCCCACAGTGTGTATGTTGTTCTGTTTGATGGTGTCCCACAAGTGCCTGAGGCTCTGTTACTGTTTCTTCAATCTTTTTTTCTGTTCCTCAGACTCAATAATTTCATTCTTACATATCAGTTTGCTGTTTCTTTCTTGTGCCTATTCAAATCTGACTCTGAATCATTCTAGTGAATACTTCATTAGTTATTTAACTATTCAGCTCCAGAATTTTATGATTGCTCTTTATTGCCAGGTCCATTTTGTTCATGCATAATTTTCTTGACATATTTTTAGTTCTTTGAGCATTTTAACACAGTTTTAAAGTCTCTGTCTAGTAAGTCTACCATCAGGTCTTTTTCAGAGATCGTTTCTGTTGATTTTTTTCTTTTGAATGAGCCATACTTTCCTATTTCTTTGTATGCCTTATAATTTTTTTAATTGAAAACTGGACATTTGAATCTAATAACATAGTAACTCTGGAAATCAGATTCCATCCCTTTCTCAGATTTTGCTGTTTTATTGTCTGGTTCTTATTTTCTCGTTGTAAGCTGTCCATGTGTCCAGGATCAGCAAAATCCCTCCCCTAAGCTCTCTCCCAATTCTAACACCCTCATGTCTTCCATCTTATCACAAATGCACAAAGACCAGGGTCTGCATGAGAGGAAGGATGCTGTAATCCAGGGTTCACTGTAGCCACTCTGGGCTGGGAGCCCAACTTGTTGCCACAGCTCCCAGAGAGGGATCCAGACACTGCTGTGTATCAGAACATTCTCAAAAAGTTATTATTTCACTATGGAATAAGAGAAGCCTCCAGTGTGTTTCCATCCTAAAAAAGTACAGCTTTGCAGCAATACAGGACCCCATTTTCTAACCCCATCCCCTCCCTGACCTTGATGAGTATGAGACTTCCCAAGATGGAGCCAAACCCACAGGACAAAAGTTGGTGGCACAGGCTAGGCGGGATTGTATATTACAAATGCTGTGCCTTAAGACCTTGCAGGCCTAAGCTTGTGCACAGGTAGACAACACACGTGCACACACACAGATAGACTCACATACATGAGCACTCACACTATGTACACTTACACACATGCACACACAGGCTGACTCACAAACAGGTACCCACACACATTTTAGTACAGAGCTCTGAGGTTGTAAGTAGCACATGGCCAGGCTTTGCTGGTTTATGTAGAATTCAGGCAAGAATCTACAGTGGATCTTTTGTCATTTCTCAAAGGCTCTTCCTCTGCTTTTCTTCTTCTGATAACTGAAACACATTCACACATAACTTACTCTTGGCCTTCTTACCAAGATTAACATACTGAAAAAAACCTTTTAGAAGACCCAATATTTGAGCATGGGAACCAGACAGTGGCAGCTGACTCCTCGTAAACTTTTTTGGCCCCAATGATGTGTGATGCAGGCATCCAGCCTGTGTGCCAATTTGCAAGTCATAGGCCTGAGCAGTGATCAACATCAGCAATTAAAAGTCATCCAGATGGAAAGACCAGCCTGCACAACACAGATGCCACTATCAGGCCAGTCACTCTGATATGAAGACAGGTGCCTGCTCTTCTGATGTGGTTCTCAGCCCCCAGAACATGTTCAGGAAATGCAGAGATGAGTCAATGTGACCAAACTTCCCCTCCCTTGTGAACAGGGCTCCAGTAGAAGCGCTCTGAGGGTCCACTTGTGAACACCATCCAGGCTCACCTTTCAGTCTCCCTTCCTTGACACAAACTTATTTACTTCCTTCTATTATTGGTGCAAGTACCAACTCTGTCCATTTTTGGCCCCTTTATTTTCACTCTACTTAATACTATTATGTGGTGTTTAGCCATCCTTACAAATAGTCTTAAATCCTTCCTATAAGAGTATGGAATACAAACAAAATTTCCTAGGTCCGAAAAAATACTGTTCTTGCCATCTGTTAACTTTATACAGAGCTTGGCCCTGGAGCACACATGCAAAGAAAAAAAGAGCAACCAGCATCTTGCACCAGCCTCTCCTACAATCCCTACTTCTTTGATACGTGAAGGCTGATGGGCACATCTGCATTTTGCTGCATGCTGATGTCACAACCCAGGAGCCTCACCACCACACTCACCCCTTGGCACTTGGGACCTGGGTACTTCCTGCAGTATGGACGTGGAATTAGTGGTCAGTAGAGCAGGTGTCTCAGTGCTGTGGGGTCCACTATTAATCATGTCTTTCCAACCACCTCTTTTAACTAGTTCACTCCCAGGCCAATATGCCCTCTGCCCGGGGTGATCCCAGAGCCAGGTGCTGGACAACTAGAAACGCCCCTACAGCCCAGAGCCTGCTGAAGTTATTCAAACCATCTAATCCTAACTTTGCTCAAACCTGTCTACCCTGCCTCACCCATTCCTTTCTGGAGAAACCACAGCACAGGCTCTGGGCCATGCTCCTCCCTCATTGCTTCTGCCTCCTGATCACCATACGCTTCCTGGTGGTCCTGCAGTGTGGCTCCTCCTCTTGGGAACTGCAAGTAGCAAATGCTTCCTTCAAGGCAGCCGTCTCCAAGTCTGTCATCTTCACATACCTGACAAGAACAAACCCCTCATACATTTTAACACAGGTCCATCCCCCTGTGTACACTCCTTCAGTCAGGAGAGAAGAGGCTGTGTAACCAACCTGTACTCCCAGGAAATGCTCCCCACACGAGGCTACCCATATCCTTTGAGGGTGGGTGGGACTGCACATGTGCTACCCAAACATCAACATGCCTAGAGCACCTGCAGGGGTCTGCCTGTATCCTGTGATGTGGGCCCTTCAGTGGGGCCACTGTGCTGTCAAAGGCAGAGCTGCTTGGTGCCATGTCCCTGCTGGAGCACCATGCTTGGTCCCTGATGCCTCTAGAGGAAGCAATGCTGGGGGTTTGCCAGGACTGCAGAGGTGAGAGCAATGCTTTCCTTCCTTAAACACTTTACAAAAATGGAAATTATGTTCCAAGTTCCCGTGCTTTATCTTAATAGTGCACCTGTCTCTGATTAAATACTAAAAATTATATTAACAAAGTTTAGATAAAGTTAATGATACTTGGGAAAGGGAGCTATCCCAAGCCCAAGAGAATGCATCTCCATGTCAGAATTAAATAATGATGTATTTTACTTTCCCAAGCAGCTCTACAACTTGTGCCTGAACAACACTCATCTGACACATTCTTTCTCTGAAAGGCACATCACAGCCATCTTGCACTTAGGAAAACTAGACAGCACTTCAGCACAATTCTTGGGGCCATTTTTAAACAGTGAAATCACCACCAAAAAACACAAAAATGTGGCACTAAATAAACCGTGAAAAGCAGTTGTTTACAGTATGAGAGGAAATGAGAAGGCAAAGCACTGCCTTGTCTGAACTTAACTGGGATGTGTGCATTGCATGACTCTAACTTCCACCTCTCTGGGCACATCCAAGAATGACTGTGAAAGTGCCCTGAGTGCTGGTTTGGGGGTTAAGAAGAAATTTTAGTGAGCCCTGGCTGGTGCAGCTGACCAGTTGTGTGCCGTCCAGTGCACTGAAAGGTTCCCAATTGGATACCTGGTCGGGGCACATACGCAGGACTGCAGGCTAGATCCCCGGTATGGGGTGTGCAGGAGGCAGCCAAGCCAATTGATGTTGCACTCTCACATCAATGTTTCTCTCTCCCTCTCCCTTCCTCTCAATCCAAAAATCAATAAAAAAATCTTAAAGAAATTTTACTGAGTAGGCTAACCTGCAAATAGAGTCTGCAAATAATGAGGATCAGCCTTATTGTCATCAATCTACAGGTTTTTATGCACTTTCCACAGGCCATCTGACTTTGCACAGTACCAGTAGTAGCAGGGCTGAGAGGTAACTGGAGTAACATGGCTGCACATCCTACACGGCTTTCCTGTGAAGCACCGAGATGACTGTGCCTCCCCAACGCAGAGTTCCCACCAGGTGCAGCGCTGGAGCCTCACAGCCCATGCCCTTCATGATCCTTAACCATCACCTCGGTCCTTCCTGTCATCGCCTCTCTCTGCTTCCGGTTCCTGCTCTGCGTCTCGGAGCTCCCACTCGTGTCCCAGGGCGAGCTCCTCACGCAGGGCCCTGCCATCGTCCAGGGCGTCTTCACTCACCAATCCCCATGGGTAGTTCTTGGGGGAGAGGTCGTCATCCGCGCGAGGCTTGGCTTTCTTTCTCCTTTTCGTTTGCCTTGTCAGCTCAGCCACCTGCTCTGGCGCCAGCCGTACTGGGCTCTCGCCCCCGCGTCCCTTCTCTTTCCTCCTCTTGTACTCCATGATCTGCTTGTTGAGCGCCTCGTGATCAATCCCACACAGGCTCGAGTGCACAGCAGAGCCCAGAGTGTCAGGCGGCAATGGGGCACCTGGGTCCCTGGAGGGGAGAAGCACAGATGGAGCAAGCACCAGAGCAACCGCGCGGGAGCCCCTGGGCCAGCACTTCACCTTCCCACACCCACTGCCTATGAACCACCCTGAGGTCTGCCTAGTAGACACCGTGGAGGACAGGACACTGGGGTTGGTTTTGGCTCTCTCCAGCCCAGGACCACTCAGTTAGCACTCTTGGTGCCTGCATGTGGCACACGCCTTGACAGTTCTAATGCAGCCATCTGCATGGTCACTGGACACATTTTCAATTTTTCCCCCCATTTAAATATGGCCAGCACACTAGGCCAGTTAAACAGAATTTTGGATAGGGCTACCTGATGAAACAAAGTGAAAGAGAAGAGTCTATTCTGAGAGCAAAATGAAAGGATCCTTTCAAAACCGAAATCTGGCCATGTCACATAGCTGAGCCCTCCAACTCTCCCTTCTGAAAGGCTCTATGCCCACAGGTTTGGCTGCCCACCTGGCTCCTCGCTGGTCTGGGACACATGGACTCACTGCAGCTTAGTGCAGCCTGTGCTCTAGCTCAGCAGTCCCTGAGTGCAGCACCCACTGCCTGGCAGGCTGGGTCCTGTGGGTCCCCCAAAGTTCCAACAGTGCCCACGTAAGGCAGATGCAGCCACCTAGGAGCACAGGCCAAGAGCCTGCCACCACTGTTTCCCTGCCTGGATCGGCCCCTCCACATATACCTCTCGAATCCTCACCACCTTTTCTGAAGCTCGCCCTACAATGTGGCCTCACCCAGAGTACTTATCTGTGATGTCTACTACTTCCTGTTGGCCTCCCCTAGTAAAACACAAGCTCCCAAGCCACTGCCCTCTGCTCTGCTCAGGGACATCCCTAAATGCTAGAACAGGGCTGGGAATGCAGTTAGCACGTGATGGAAACACACAGCAAATGAGGAAGAGGGAGAAACACAGTCCTGCCCTGACAAGTCTCTGGAGCGACCACAGCCACCAGAGGCCCCAGAACTGCTGGGTGGACCTCCCACAGCCTCAGTGAGCCACAGGGTACTGTCACCAGGCGACCCCCGAACCTGATGCAGGCCTCGTGGGGCTGGGCCACAGGGCACACAGACGGCAGGGACACAGTGGGAGACGCAATCCCACACCTGCACATCCGCCCGAGAACCGAGCACATGTCCACTTGTATCACCTGAAGTCACTTTGTGTAAGGTCTTCTTTTTCATCTGGGGGTCCAAGATCAGTGACGGCCAGTAACCGATCCACCTGGGAAGGAACAGAGGGCAGTTCAGCAAGCCACGCCCTCAGCACTTCACCAGAGCTGACATAACAAGCGTAACAAGCGTCGTGCGCCCTGCACTGTGCCACGGGCCTTCCAGGCACCACTTTAGGTCTCTCCTGCAGCAACACTTTCCAGATGACGAGACATTCAATAGCCCGTGCTTTCAAACACCTGTTTGAAAATGAAAAGTTTTTAAAAAACATTTACATTTGTAAATGGTAGTCAAATGTATGAAACAACATTTAGCTGTTAGTGGAATTACCTAAGTAACATTTACTGTTTTGTCAAATGCTTGTTTTGCCACAGGATTTGTGTTTGGAAGAAGGCTGACGGGGACCCATCAGCTCCCAGGGCAGTGCCCACTCCAGTGAGAGCCCAGACAGCCCATCACTCTGCAGCAACAGAAAGCAGTGTCACCCACAGGCGCTGATAAAAATTACAAATGTGCAAAGAGGCAGAACTGGGAGTTTAATCAGTGCACAGAAAACACCAGAAACAGGACTGACATAGCAAGGACAAACTGGGAGAAAAGACTTGTAACACACACTCTGACAAGGGACTTGGACCAGACACATAAGGAGTTTACACAACCCAACAATAAGCAGAAATAAAAACAGCAGGATTGGCCCTGGCCGGTGTGGCTCAGTTGGTTGAGGCATCCCATGCACCAAAAGGTCACCGGTTCAATTCCCGGTCAGGGCACATGCAGGTTTCAGGTTCAATCCCCAGCCAGGGTACGTACGGAAAGCAACCAGTCGACCTTCCTCTCCTCTCTCTCCCTCCCTCTCCCTTCTTCTCTCTCTGAAGTCAGTAAGAACATATCCTTGGGTAAGGATTAGAAATGAGAATAACAACCAGAGGCAGATTGAAATTCGGGGAGTGAGAGGAGTCGTAAGCACAGAGGGTAGCTCTGGCTGCCTTACGTTTATAAATTAGGAACTGGAGCTCTGGCTCGCTAGTTAAGAGTTAGAGATAAGCATTAGGAACTTAAAAGCCCTGGCTGGGTGGTGCAGCTGGTTGGAGCATCACCCCATATACCAAAGGGATGCGGATTCGATTCCCAGTCGGGACGCGTACTGGAGACAACCGATCGATGTTTCTCTCGCAAAGACTTTTTTTCTCCCTCCAACCCCCTCTCTGAAATCAGTGAAACCATATGCCAGGGTGAGGATTGAAAAACAATTAGAGCCAGAGAAAGGGGTGATGTCTGGTGACTCGGGATGGGAACGAGCATGGGAGTTTGGTCTTTTCATTTGAAGCCTTTCAAGTGTTACTTGTGTAAACTCTAAGTATTATCATTCTAGAAATCTCACTTTAAACTTTACGTCATAAAGTCTGCGATTTAAAGGCCTCACCTCGGCTAGCGCTGCATGTTCTTTGTCCTGAACAAACACTATTGGCGGCACATTCCTCAGAGTCTGCTGGGCCATCAAAAGGTGCCTGGAGAGAGACAACACAGATTAGCGCTGTGACAGGTGACACTTACAGGAGAGGTGGGACAGGGCCAGAAACAAAAATATGTGATAATCTCACAGAGACATAAGAAATAAGATTTGCTTATCCACTCTCCAAAGATGAAAATGTTAGCCCACAGAAGTCTTTAGCTGACCGCACATTCCAACAGGCATAAGAAATGCATCATCACCACAACGGCTTGTAATTCTCTAAATGCAACTTTTGAGAGCCCGTAAATAATCTGATCTAAACTAGATGCCCTCCTGCGCATCTCAGTGGCCTTGGGCTCCACAGCTGGTCACTAACCACCCAGCCTCGATCCAATGGACATGCATCGGCAATGACACCACCAGCATGCGACACAGTCCCCAACCACCCAGATGTCACAGAAGTGATCTCTGCATTATTCAATCATAACAAGCAGATAAAGGTAAATCTGGGTGCAAGTACCCAGGGGAAATGTGGCTGTGGCGTGCAGTGTATGGCTCAGTGACAGACGACCCTGGTACGTAGTTATGGAAAAACCTTTACACTAAACCCTGATTGATCAGAAGAGATGGGAAAAGAGACATTCTGTTTAACTTAACTATCTAACCACCTAAAAATTAACCAGAGGACAATACTGTTATCTCTCGACACTTGTTGGAAATCTCTCATTTTGTTTCTGTTAAATGTAAAAATTAAACTAACCAACCATTCTCTAGTACACACCTTTACAGACACCTAGGGATCACTGTGACAGGTGTCAATGATCACCATGCAGGAGAGCTATGCAGACAATGTAAAATACCAGCTCCTTGTACGACTCTGACTTCTCAACATCTGCCCCCTCCTCCTGACAATTCAGGATGTTATAAGGGGAGAGGTGAGAGCGACAGAGAAAGCAGAGGGAAGCAGGAAGGAGAGATTCCAATTCTGAGTGCTGGTTGGTTAGGGTTTCTGGATTTTTTAAGCCTGAGGAGAAAACTGAATAACTTTACTATCACCCAGCTCAGCAGGTCTCAAAACCTCAGGATCCCTTTACACTAAAAAAATTAGAGGACCCCAAAGATCTTTTGTTTATGTGGGTTATATCCATCAATATTTATCACACGAGAAATTAAAACTAAAAATTTTAAAAATATGTACTTATTAATTCATTTAAAATAAACCCTCTAGGCCGTGTCTGGGTAGTTCAGTAGGTTAGAGTGTCATCCCAATAAGCCAAGGTTGCAGGTTCCATCCCCGGTCAGGGCACAGACAAGAATCAACCAATGGCCCTGGCTGGTTGGGCTCAATGGTTAGAGCATCGGCCAGCGGACTGAAGGGCCCCAGGTTTTATTCAGGCCAAGGGCACGTACCTCAGTTGCAGGCTCAATCCCTGGCCCTGGTCGGGGCGCATGCGGAAGGAAACCAATCGATGTCTCTCTCACACTGATGTCTGTCTCTCCCTCCCTTTCCCTCCCTCTCTCTCTGAAAAGCAACGGAAAAAATATCCTCGAGTGAGGGTTAAAAAAAACCAAAAAACTAATGAATGCACAGAAAGTGGAAAAACAAAGCAATGTCTCTCTCTCTCTCTCTCTCTCTCTCTCTCTAAAGAGCAATAAATAAGTAAAAAATAAACCCCTAAACATTCACATAGATATTTTTAATGGAAAAAGAACTGTATTTCCCAAAAACAATTATTGAAAAAAGTGGCACTACATATAGAGTTGCAAACTTCTTTAATGCTCTGCTTAATGAAAGACAGCTAGATTCTCATGTTTGCATCTACATTCAATCTGTTCTCATGTTATGTTGGTTGAAATATAAGAAAATCTGGCCCCACACAGATCTGTGACTGGAAAATGGAGGGATGGAGGGTTATATGAACATCCTTAAGAAAAATGTGCATCTTTGTGATACTAAACAAAAACTCAACACGTGGTAGTTTTTTAAAGGTTACCTGCAATGTGGAATCTGAAACCAGACCAATGACCCAGCCGGTGTGGCTCAGTGGTTGAGTGCCGACCCACGAACTAAGAGGTCAGGGGTTCAGTCCCTGGTCAGGGCACATGTCTGGGTTGCTGGCTCGATCCCCGGCAGGGGAGCATGCAGGAAGCAGATCAATGATGGGCTCTCATCAATGTTTCTATCTCTCCTTCTCCCTTCCTCTCTCTTTAAAAAAAACACATTTGAAACCAGACCAATGAACATCTCACTGTCACACTAAACTCTTGCACTTTGACCTTTACCTATGCGTGACTCTGTAACCTCACGCACTGGTCATCTGCAAACACTAGGTCAGCAAGTGATAGACTTTCAGAAGGCTGACTGACAAATTTCACCACGTAACACCACATTTGTTAGCATTACCACCATCTCATCAGGAGGCTGTAAGTCTTGGAAAGCAGTCAAACTCACAGTGGTAGATATACTTTCTAAAATTCTGATTTTTACTTGAAAGTCTGAATTTCATCACTGGCAACAAGTATGGTCAGTTGATTTCCCTGAAGTGACAGGTTCACTTGGCCCAGTTGCAAGTGTCTGTCAAATACCCAAATTTGAAAAACTGTAGTTGGTTCTCTCGCTCCTTCGGGTAAAAAAGGGTCTATTTCAGCACACACAGCGTCATTCCCAAGGATAGCTACCCTACCTCAGCCCAGCAGGGGCTCCACACACACTTCCCACCACACACAATGCTAAAGAGATGTATCCAAGAGTCAAAATTTAATAAATTAGTAACTTGCTTATCCATCAGGAATATTCTTAAACTGGCCGTTTTGGTTTTTTTAATAGAATTTTTAAAAAAATTTCTTTTATATATCTATATTGATTTTAGAGAGAAGGGAGAGGGAAAGATAGAAACATCAATGATGAGAGAGTCATTGATCAGCTGCCTCCTGCACGCCTCCGACTGGGGATAGAGCCCAAAACCCGGGCACGTGCCCTGACCGGGAATCGAACCTTGATCTCCTGGATCCCAGGTCAACGCTCAACCGCTGAGTCATGACGGCCGAGCAAACTGGCCTTGTTTTTACTGTATGTGGCATGAAGCTGTGACCACAGGATCTGTGGGCCAGCAGTTCTGCCTACTGTGGCTTCAGTGCAAATGTCCACACTGTGAGAAAAGAAAATAACACCATACTGTGAAAACACCTTTAACCTCATGAACCCCTAAAAAGATCTCAGGATCCCCTAGGGGTCCAGGACCACACTTTGAGAAACACTTATCTAGATTATGGCTTACATAAAAATGTAAATTATACTCTGAAGTTCAAGGCAATGCTTGCAGCCCTGCTTGGGTGGCTCAGCTGGCTGGAGCACTGTCCCGTACACCAAAGGGTCATGCGTTCAATTCCCGGTCAGGACACACCCTTAGGTTGCAGGTTTAGTCCCCGGTTGGGGAGTGTACAGGAGGCAACTAATCCATGTTTCCCTCTCTCCCTTCCTCTCTGTAAAACCAATCAATCGTCAATAAAAAAACACTAACATATCCTCGGGTAAGAAAAAAAATTAAAAGAAAAAAAAAAAGCATCCAAAATTTTCCTCAAAAGCAAAAATATGTCACAAAACAGGCTGGGAAATTCCAGGTGCTGCAAAAGCAAAGCCTCCTTACCTCATATGTGCTGCGCATCTCTGCAGGACGGCCTGGGTGTGCTTGTTCTGCTCGGCGGAGACAGTCGTCCTCCAGTACACGCGACAGGCAGAGAAGTCTGAGGTCAGAGACACCTGACACCGCCCCCCCAGCAAATCCCTTTCAGCTTAAGTGGGTTTTTGGCAAACAATGCACAGGAGATGAAAATTAAAGTGACAGCAGCCACCACCTGGGCTTGTGCTCCGGCTGGACTCACAGGCCACCATCTCCTGTGCACACTCAGCTGCTGAAGCAGAGCCAGAAACCAAACGCTCACCTCCCCGACCCCCACCCCACAGCACTAACTGCAAACACCTGAACTGCCACTACTCTCATTACTTCCCTCTGGCTCAACTCACTCTAAGCGGACAGATGGCAGGATGTCACCTCCTTTGTCTCTACTTCAAGACAAAGGCAGACAAATCCACTTCTCGCCCGACCTGCAGGTCTCTGAATGCTCCATGTCACCACACTTATGGGGCATCTAACCACACACTTGGTGCTGTCTGGTCAGGGACACCTCCCTCCCCTGCTTTCCCACCACACGCATCCCCTCCATCTTCAGTACTTAAATGGCCACACTTAGCATCACTTCTGCAACCCAAATAAAGACGCTGTGAGTGACCTGGTGCCTTTTTCTTAACCGATAGGCCAGCAGTTCTCAGCCCCATTTCTTCCCAGCGTGGCCCCAGCACTGTACCTTGGAGAGCTCCACATTCAGGTCGCAGATCTCTTGGCTCACTTCAGGGGTGCACAGTAAATCGCTGAGGGCTTTGTAGAGGAGGCCGTTCAGGGCCCTCAGGCGCACGTGGTCTTCCTTCCTGGTTTTCTTTGAGGTGCCCTTTGTTAGGAATTCCAACTGGGATGGCTTGTAAGTCTGCATGAAGAACGACAGACAGAAAGTCAACACTAGCCTGTACATTAAACTTGCACTAACTTACAAAAAAGGCAGCTAGGAAGAACTTGAACAGCTTGATGAACAAGAAACAATGTTATGCTCCACCACCTCAGCTTTAAGATATTTTATTTTACAGAGCTGGATCCTTCCAGATTTTAACTAGCATTCCTCCAAGATAAAAATTACTGCCAGTACATATTTTTCAAGAAAAATTTTTACTGAAATATAATTCACACATTGTAAAATTCTCCCTCTTGAAACATACAATTCAGTGGTTTTTAGTATACATAGAGTATTTTTTGCTAACCAGAGCCATTAATTACATAAACTTCTACAATGTACCTATACATCTGTGTGTGTTATACACACATAAACTGAATGGACATTACTATGTCAGAATTTGATAATAAATATGACATTCTGGAAAATTTTAGTGTTGGTAATTTTTTTTAAAGGTGAAAATTCCATGTTACCAATTCATCCAATTCCACCCCTACAGACCCTGCCTCTCCAATAAGGAAATGAAAGGCTGCCAGGCTAGAGCTTTGCCAACTTTTGGAACCTCGTGCCCATCGAGGCTGTGAAGTGGCTCATTGCTGCCACTCTACTTACCAAGTGAGAGCCCAGGGAAGGGCCTTCGTACCAAAACTTCTTTCTATGGTGAGAAAATAAGAATTATGTTGGATACCAATAACAATTTTTAAAAAGTTACATAAGCTAACTAGAGCTTATGATACCACAACTGTTTCTTAGGAGCTAAACTTGGGCACTGATATTATGAGACTAGGAATCTACCTAACTAACAACAATGTAGGCTGTGGGGGAGAGACAGAAGATGGTTTTAATCCAACCTCATAATTTTTACTCAAAGTCTACTTCTAGTCCCAAAGGTAGAGAAAGAGGATCTTAAAAATACACCTACCTAACTGCACCTGAACATTGCACTCTACCTGGTAAAGCTGTCTCCAGGGGGTGTAGGTGAATGACTGGGGCTGAACAACTAAGTAAACTGGTGCAGGGGGAGGTTCCAGGTGAGCAAGGAAAGGAAGCTAGAATGGTCCGTGCAGTAGTGGATTACAGTTGGAGATTTGTATGAACTTAAGTTTCACTTATGACAGATACAGATGGTTACATACAGAAACGAAAGAAATAAGTGTATATACAGGAGTTAACATAAACTCCTATTTTTTGCTTTGTCAGCTGAAAGGGCCTAAAAGACAGAAATCCCAGTAGCAATGCACATAATCAGCTCTCAGATCATGGATTCTAAAGCTATTCTCCAACAAGGGGAACCAAAGCTACTTGGAGAAATGGCTGGTTCTAGAACTGAGGCATCGTGTAGAACCACAAAGTAAGGAAGTGCTAAAAAATAAAAATAAAAAATGTAAAAGCACCACAAACCCCATAACGATGGGTATGTCAGAGCATACAGGAGCCAACTGAAAGAGCTCCCATGGTCAAACCAGAACAAGTTGAACAAAACCAAGTACTGCTGGACTGTAACCCAAGACCATACTAACAGGGTTCATAAACGGGGAAGAGACACATCACCCATGCAGAATTCCAAATAATTCATGAGCCTAACTCCCCCACTCCTTATGTGTGGGCTGCACAAGGAGACTTCTCCCCAGAGACAGCAGCATAGGTTGGGTGGCAGGTAGCTTTACAGTGGATAAACCTGATAGAACGAGCTCAGTCGAGGATCAAGGCTGACATCAAGTGATAAACCAGGTTGACAGCATGTGCCCCAGGCAGGACGTGATGAAAATGGCATTTAACCTCTTGGTCTTCCTCCCAAGAACCTATACACCCAGTACAATCATGAGGAAAACGTCACACAAACCACAGTGGAGAGGCATCCTACAAACATCTAACTGGTATCCCTTAACACTGTCAAGGTCTTCACAAACAGGAGCAGTATGAAAAACTGACACAGTCAAAAAGAGCCTAAAAAGAAGATGACTATGTTATGTGGTCCCCAAATAGGATCCTGGAACAGAAAAAGACATTAAGTAAAACCTAAGGAAAAGTAAATAAAGCATGGACTTTAGTTAATGATAGCATGTCAATATTGGTTCATTAATTAGAACAAATGCACCAGACTAATGTAAGATGTTAAAACAGGCTTTATGGAAACTGTACTGTCTTTGCCAATTTTTCCATAAACCTAAAACTGTTTTTATTTTTATTGTTATTTAATTGACTTCAGAGAGAAGGACAGGGGTACCGAGAGACAGAAACATCAATGAGGAGAGTCATTGATGGGCTGCCTCCTGCTCGCCCCCTACTGGGGACCCGCCAAAATCGGGCCATATGCCCTGACTGGGAATCCAACCCCGATCTCCTGGTGCACAGGGGGCTCAACCACTGAGCCAGGCAGCTGGGCTAAAACTGTTTTTAAAAATCTTCCATTGCCCTGGCCCAGTGGTTAGAGCACTGGCCTGCCCACCAAAGGTTCTGGGTTTGATTCCTGGTCAAGGGCACCTGCCTGGGTTGCAGGTTCGCTCCCCACCCCCAGGAGGGGTGGGTGCCGGAGGCGACCAGCTGATTCATCAGTGCCCCCCCTCTGTGAAAAGCAGTGAAAGTGTGTCCTCAGGTGACAATGAACAACAAAAAGTCTATTAAAGAAAAAAAAAAAACCTACCATGTAGATCCACAAAAGCGGTATGGAAATTAACATATTTCATATTTACCTCTTACCATAAAAATCTATCCTGACAAGCTTTCAAATTTATTCCTCAAATTAAGCCCATCCACGTGGAAAGCACTGACGCGGGAAGAAAATGTTTCATGGTTTTCCACCTTCCTTCCCCGTCCGATGAAGCCGCTCTCCTGAAAAGCGCGGCCGGCCACGAGAGCGAACAGGAACGTCCGCTCCTCTGGCCTCGCGCGTCCGTGGAGCGCCGGTGGGTTTCAGGGGACTTAGCACTGTCACCGAAGCTGTCAAGGGCCCGAGGAAAGGCTGCGCAGGAAACCCGCAAACGCCGAGCGCGGGGCTGCCGGGGCTCTTCCAGCGGCCGCTCGGCCCGCG